GCGGCCACCCACCCCGTCGCTCCTCTTCCCCACCCAGCCCACAGAGACCGCTGAGAGTTGGAGGTGACAGGGAGGAAGGGATGCTGGGTGGGCACGGGGAGAGGGTGAGCCCCCCTGGCGTACCTGGGAAACTGGACAAACGGTGGCTCTTCGGCCGCAGGCACCAGTGGGCAGATGAGGGTGTCCGGGCAGCCGCCGGCGCTGTTCCCCCAGGTCTTGTTCCGGTCCCGTGTCACCTCGCCCCACGCACTTGCACGTCCAACCTCCTGGCGCGGCTCCGGTTACAACGAGACATCCAGTGTCCAAAGTAGTTTCGATTTTGTATCCTGGCGTAGGGCATGTGATAGGGCAGTCTATGCACCTCTTCGGTTTTCTCATGTTTTCCTTTTTTTTAAGCATAACCAATAAACAAGTTGTTGTAAAGTGGAGCTGGAACACGCCTGCATTTCTTTCTTCTGTACGTGAAACGCTGCAGTGCCTGGTATCAACGTTTTATGCCCAGACCCCTTATCACTGCATTCGCTCTCCCCTCTCCATGTTTCATCCTTACCTGGAGAGACCTGGCGTTGGAGGAGCCTCCACAGCTCTCCAGCCTCCCCTGGCAGGGTCAGGACACTCCGTGTCATGATTCTCCTGACGATTCCACCGTTATTATCAAACATGAGTAACCGAAAATAAAGCATCTCCTCACACATCCGAGTACTGAAAAGAACAACAGCCACTAAAAGACAGCTGATCCACTGAAATAAAAACCATAAACGCATTAAAAGGAGATAACAAAAGGAGTGGGAGAAGAGCACAGAAGGGCAGTATTTACTGTGCTTTAGCATGCCCTGCACTCATTTACTCTGCTTTACTCCCCTTGCACAGCCCATCCTTGCTGTAACAAGCATTTAACCTGCTCAGCAGCCGTCCAAACACAATAAATAAGGACGTTAAAGCCTCGTGGATTAAAAAGTCAACCACCTCGGGCCAGACGCAATGGAGCGGGACAGTTTGAAGTCCCCAGCTTTCACAAGCCTGGCCCTACAGCACGGTCTGCCCTTACCCAACCCAGCTGGGCAGTGATGGTGTCAGAGTGACCCTCGGGCAGGCAAAACCCTCCTCCCAGAGGCCAGGGCAGGAAGAGGCGGGGGGTGGGCAGCTCAGGGGGCAGGCAGTGGGCTGGCAGAGTTGTCCTCACTGCTCTCCAGCTCAGGGCCATGTACCCTGAGCTGCTACCGTGCAGGCTGCTCACCCTCAGGGACACAGAGCAGTTCAGCGCAGAGCCCCTCCCTGGGCAGAAACAAGGCTGCTGCCTGGAGGGAGCAAAATACAGAAAAATACAAAAATGGAAGACTTTTGGGCAGGTGACCCAATGTGGTGGCACCACCGCAGGGACAGGCATGAGGGATGCAGCCACAGGGGATGATGCACCTCGGCTGGACCCACCACCCCGGCCACCCCGCAGGGGCCATCCATCCCTGCGCTGCCCACATCCAGCCCGGAGCAGGGGTGACCCGGCCGCGGG